GATGGGAATGACATTACATTTCCAGACTTCAAACTATACTATGTGCCATAATAATTAAAACAGCTTGGTACTGGAACAAAAACAGACACACCAACCAATGCAACAGAAATCGAGAGACTAGAAATAAACCCTTACATATCTGGATAGCTAATTTATCACAAAAGAGTGAAGAACATACACCGGAACAAGGAAAATCTCTTTAATAAATGATGTTGTGAAAACTGAATAGCCACATGAAAAGAATTAAACCAGACCAGTATCTCACACCATATACAAAACTCGACTCAAAACGGGTAAGAGATTTGGATGCAAGACCTGAAAGGATAAAATATACGGAAGAAAACAGGGATAACACCCCATGACATAAGCTCCAAGACATCTTTGCAGATTCATCCCTAGGAGCAAAGAGAACAAGGAAAATAACTGGGACTGTGTTAAATTAAAATGCTTTCGTAAAGCAAGAGATTGTAACTAAAGTGAAGAGAGACCCTACTGAATGGAAGAAAATATTTGCACATCATACATCTGACAAGGGACTGATATCAAAGATCTATAAAGAGCTCACAAAACCCTACACAATCAAAATATGGGCAGGGCAGCAAAAGAGGCAATTCTCAACATAATAAAAGCCTTATATGACAATCCCATAGCAAGCATCATTCTTAGTGGAGTAAAACTAAATGCCTTCCTCTCAGATCTGGTACAAGACCCCTATTTCCTTCTTTTTTGTCAGGACAGCTTTGGCTGTTCGTGGTATTTTGTGATTCCCTGTAAATTTCAATTGATGTTTGTTCCATTTCTTTGAAGAATGCCCTGGAAATTTTTATTTGGATTACCTTAAATCACTGCTATTCAATATAGTGTGGGGAGTCCTACCTAAAGCAACCAGGCATACATGTTAACACAGATGAGTAACAAACATATGAAAAAATGTCCATCATTTATCAGGAGGGAAATGCAAATCAAAACCAAATGACCCGAACTCGTATCTGTGACAATGGCCCATATCAAAAAGACTAGAAACAACAAGTGCTGGTGAGGGTGTGGAGAAAAAGGGACCCTCTTATACTGTTGGTGGGGATGTGGACTCTGCAGGCTCTGTGGAAAGCTGTGTGGAGGCTTCTCAAAAGATAACAATGGATCTGCCATATGACCCAGCAATTACACCTCTAGGAATCTACCCCAAAATATAAAAACATTAATTTGAAGGGGTATATGCACACCCATGTTTATTGCAGCACTATTTACAATTGCTAAGATATGGAAACAATCTAAGTGCCCAAAAATAGTATGTGGATCAAGATGTGTGGATCTAGCAGTATCCCATATGGACTACTACTCAGTGATCAAAAGCTATAAATTCATGCCATTTGCCGCAACATGGATGGAGCTGGAAGGGATTATGCTAAGTGAAATAAATAAGGAGAAAGATAAATAAAATAAAGATAAATATAAGTATCACTTATATGTGGAATATAGAGAAACGAAAGGGTCAAACTTTAAAACCAACCCTTGAAAACTGACCAGAGATCTATGGCTTTCAGAAGGGGAGGGGGAGGGAGAGCACAATGGACTTTGGTAGAGGACTATGGGTACTCAGGAGGTGAGAGTGCTATAGTGACTACTATACAGCCTATACTGTCAAAACAATAGTACTTCAATAACAAATTAAATATAAATAAATATAGAGAAATGAATATGTGTGTGAATATATATCTATATAATATACATGTGTGAAATACAGGGTAATTAGAAATGACTGCCACTCAAGTTATTTATTAATATACTGCCAGCACCACAGATGATATGCGGGTATTTCTTTTCTATCACATAACTGTCCATTTTGGAAGCAACATCTCCCTGATTTTAGTGTAATAAATCTCCACTATGTTCACTAAAGCTCTATAACTGATATGTGATCTCTTGATCTACATTACTTGCTTTCAAAGTAGGAAAATATAAACATTCTGTGTAATTAAAACTTTCAGTATTTCATATTCTCAATAGTAAAACAAATTTCCAAAATTTTTTTGAAGATTTACTTTATGCATACAAGAACTGGGGTATAAGCCAGAGGTGCAGGGGGTGAGAGGATTCACCAGAGAGAGTGGGACGTAGAACAAGCAGATCTACAGAAATACATTGGTGAGGGGAGCAGCGGGAGAGGCAGGAAAGGTCTTCTGTGCCCTGTGGGTTGCTTCCTGGCTGGCCAGGGATCAAACTCCTGCTGCAGTGGCTGTCAATAGCTTAATAGTGCTGTCTTTAACCCCTGCGCCACCAGAGAGGCCCAAAATTTCAAAATTTGAATGAATCACAGATTCTTATAAATGACTTCACCACACTGTAGCACACTATAGATTTAAAAATTGTCTGTTTCTCTCTAGAAATAAGCTCAGGCAGAGATATGTAATTAAAGAAAATTACAGTACTCTTAAAACTAAGATAATGAACATGGGCCAAATGATCTAGAGAAAACCATCATTTAATCTTCCACAGCAGTAAACTTTGTATCTGATCCTAGAATGAACAGGCAAAGAGTATCCATAAAAAAAAAGGGTGCTAACCTATAGCAACGATATATAAAAACAAAGAAAATCTGATAGTTCTTTAAAAAAAGAAAAATATGGGGCCTCTCTAGTGGCGCAAGGGGTTAAGTGTCAGCATTAAGAAGCTATCTGCAGGGCCTCCCCAGTGGCGCAGCTGTTGAGCACTGCGAAGCTGCCTGCAGCCTCTGCAGCGCCAGCTCGATTCCCGGCTGCTCCCCGGCCTCCGGAGGAGGGTCCCACATGGCGCGCAGACCTCTCCTGCCGCCCGCTGCTCCCCTCAGCAGTGTACTTCGGTCCTTCTGCCTGCTCTGCTCCCTGCTCTGGCTCTGGTGAATTCTCTCACCCTCCCGCGCTTCTGACTGTACCCAGTGCATGTATAAATAAATAAATAAATCTTTAAAAAAAAAAAAAAAAAAAAAAAAGAAGCTATCTGCAGCCACTACAGCATGAGTTTGATCCCCTGGCTGGGAGGTGACCCACCTGACGCAGTAGACCTCTCCTGTTTCACCCCATTGCTCCCCTTAGCAGTGTATTTCAGTGGATCTGCCTGTTCTGCTCCCTACTCTGTCTCTGGTGAATCCTCTCACCCCCACACCTCTGGCTTGCACCCTAGCTCTTGTATGCATAAATAAATAAATCTTTTTTTTTAAAAAAGATAGTATAGGGCCTCCCTGGTGGCGCAGGGGGCTAAGCACTGCACTATGAAGCAATCCGCAGCCTCTGCAGTACAAGTTCAATCCCCAGGCTGCCAGGAAGTTGACCCACATGGCGCAGCAGACCTCTCCTGTCTTGCCTGCTGCTCGCCTCAGCAGTGTATTTCAGTTAGTCTGCCTGTTCTGTTCCCCACTCTGTCTCTGGTGAGTCCTCTCACCCCCTGCATCTCTGGCCTGTACCCCAGCTCTTGTATGCATAAATAAATCTTAAAAAAAAAAATAAAAAAAGATAGTATACTGGTTATGAGACGGCAGCTTAAAAAAAAAGAAAGAGGGCCTCCCCTGGTGGCGCAGGCGGCTGAGCGCAACGCTGTGAAGCTGTCCACAGCCTCTGCAGTGCTGGTTCAATCCCGGCTGGCCAGCGTCCCACATGGTGCAGCAGACCTCTCCTGTCGCGCCCACTGCTCCCCTCGGCAGTGTTTTCAGTCCATCTGCTTGTTCTGTTCCCTGTTCTATCTCTGGTGAATCCTCTCACCCTTCCGTGCATCTGGCCTGTACCCCAGTTCTTGTACAAATAAATAAATCTTTTAAGATTTATTTATTTATACAAGCACTGGGTACAGTCAGAAGCGCGGAAGGGTGAGAGAATTCACCAGAGCCAGAGCGGGGAGCAGAGCAGGCAGAAGGACCGAAGTACACTGCTGAGGGGAGCAGCGGGCGGCAGGAGAGGTCTGCATGCCATGCGGGACCCTCCTCCAGTGGCCGGGGAGCAGCTGGGGATAGAACCAGCGCTGCAGGGGCTGCGCGCAGCTTCGCAACCCAGCGCTCAACCACTGCTCCACCAGGGAGGCCCCAAATAAAAAAAAAAAAATTAATCATTTAAATTCCTTTATTGCAATTTCACTCTACTAGTAAATTATGACATCTATAAACCAGCGAGATCCGGTTAATTCCAAACAGAAAAAACAGTAACAACTAATCTTGGTATTTATAAAGAACAAAACCAAAGTTGCTTATCATTTACTTTTAAGAATAATTAATTCTTTAATTCTATCTATAAATAGAAATTCATATAACCTAGACCGGAAAATAAACGCTCATCTCTTTGCTTACAAACAACTCAGAGTAGGTTGTTCTCGGAAAAAGAATAAACAGCCTGAGCTCCAAGAAGTGTCACAAGTACTATAAAGCCACTCTTTCCAGGCTCTGTGGCAAAACTTTCCTATATTAAAGAACCATGCACTGGACTTGCACAAAAGATAAGAATTTTTACTCTCTCATGTAGATAAATATGTGAGTGATGCTTCATTTTCAAAGTTTCAAATTAAAAGTGTAGCTAAAGGCCAAACCAAGACTACTTCTGGGAACTGTGAATTAGTCTCCCACCACAGCCTTCCCTCTACTGCTTACAGTTACTGCCTGCAGCTGTGTTATCTCTTCTCCCCTAAGGACTTCGGTGATAATGAGTAGAGTAAGATTACATTGTAAGTTGTAAGCTACTAAGTAATTGAAAAACACTAGTTTCTTTTCCTCCTTCTCTCTGTTTCTATCTTTCTTTTCTCTTCCTGCCAAGCTAAGCATAAAAACAAGAAGGGCAGGAAACAGCATAAATAACTCCATGAAAGCAGTTCACATAGGAGTTAATGCAATGTACATAGCTCAGCAGCGTTCTGTGCAAAAGACTGTTTTCCAAACTAAGTATTACTAGTAACTCTGGCACAAAAGCATTACAGTAAGAGACCAAAAAAAAAGGGAGGGGGTGTGAGGGAGGAATAGAAAACACAAGTAAAAAGTCACTTACTATGTATCCTCTTCAAGTCATAAACTTTTTCATTTAATAAATCTTCTCTTAGGACTTTTTTTCTGTGAATATCAATAAAGAGGTAAAACAATTATGCAGAATTATCACTTGGCTCATTTACTTTCAATTCACTGCCCACCAAAATAAAACCTTTTGTGCACAGAATTTTAAATACACGGAAAAAAAAAATCAAGTTGCCACTCCCAGTTGCTATTCTCCACTCCAATGACTTATTGATAAGATAGAGACATTCACTATCAAGACATAAAAACACCACTGTGATCCCCTTGGAACTGGTAGACAATATCAGAAAGAGAGGGGTGTCAGGGTTTTTAGAAGGAAGAGGCAATACTGAATGTTGTCTAAGTGCTGGTGAGAGTAGGCATAAACAGAAGACTAAATGACAGCAATGCTAAAAACTAAAGACTCTCCTTCACCACTTCCAAAAAAAAAAAAGGGAACTAAATATCTAATAACTGACAAAGTTTTTCACCTTGGGAGAAATCATTAAGTAAATAACTTGTGGGCAAAAGCAAATTATTACTTTGTGTCTGTTATTTCTCTGTACCATGTCCCTACCACAAACCCTTGAGAAAAAGCCATCAAGCACGCATTCTCCCCCCGCCATGTTACACCTATGGCATGCTACTCTTCTTACAGGTTGTATCTCAGCGAGAGTCACAAGAAGTGGGGCAATTCTGATAAAGCACAAAAATGCACACCCAAGACAATGTGCTGTCACAGGTAATGACTGTATCAAGAATTAAGTGGCAAATGGCACTGTCTTCATTTTCAGCTATATAAACACAAAAGCAAGACTCAAAACTGATATAGTTAAAAAATATATAAAGTTTGCTCTGATATGGTAATAAATTCAAGTTTGTAAGTGGGCTCTTGGAGCATGTATTCCATGAATCCCTTAAAGGAATTTATAAAAGTTTTGCCTGTAAGTATGTTTTATGACATGTTTCTCTGCAGAAAGTATCTCCAGATAATCAAAAGAAGCCCCAAATTTCCTGAAAGTTAAGATCTAAAGAGCTATGGTGACGATTAGTGACAATTCGATAAATCTCAGAGACTATTATAAACTATTAAGGTAACTATACAAATTTACTCTCTTAAAGAGATCAGTATTCTGATGAAATATACTAATGAACCATAGATTAATAATTATCAAATAATTCAACTTAAAAACACAACTTTTGGACAGCTCTAAGTATAACTCAGATAAAAATGGTCATAAAGTCCAAATGTAATAGAACAATTTAAGTATTAATAATTACTTATAATTATTATATACTAGTATGCTATTATAGTATAATTATTATACTAGTATAAATAGTATAAATATAGTATAAATATTATACTATAATAGTATACTAATTCAATTTAGTTCAAAAAAGTTAAAATACCTTAAGCACAAGTACTAAGCACCGTATTTCTAGGCCATTATGCTTTAACAATGGAAGTTAAAGAAACAAACCCAAACATGTAAAAATTTAATGATGAACATTTGGCATATCAATAGTAGGTAGCAGTGTCTGCTACAACGAAGAAGTAGCATGAAAAAGCTTCAGTTCTAACTACCTCCTGGAAATAGTTGTGCTCTAGTTAATGGCCTTCTACTTTTTGTCCATAAATACAACAACAGCACTACTCAAATGTTGTCTCTGCTCATCCATTCCTGCTTTATGGTATATACAAAAGTTTAGTAAGCATTCAGATGTTTTTATAGAAATTTTACACTGCTGTAACATCACACAAAAATATTAACCTAATATGGATTGGGAGGGGAAAAAATACAACTAATTCCTCATCAAGTATGTACTTTAAAAGAAGTAGTTAAATACATTTAAACCCGATGATTAAAAAAAGGGGGGCACTCTTACTAGCTGTCTTCTTATCTCTATTCCACTGCTAGAGTTAATAACTAACCTTATACAGCTTTTAGAATTTTCACGACAGGAGAGCAGTTTCTTAAAAGAGCTTTCATTTTTCTTGTCTTTTGTTTCTCTCAACTGTCTTTTTACTTGGACCTAAGAGAAAAGCAAAATCACCTATTTAGAGAGAGAATCCAGCATCACAAATAGTAACTTATCAATTCTCCCTTAAAATTCATTGATAACAAATTAATGAAATAAAACTGAATGAAAGAGTAGCCCAAATACATAGGCTCATTCATTTCAGGTAAACTAACCCATAAGTTCAGGAAGTTGGCTAAGCTCTGAAGAAACAAAGGAGTGAGAGAGGGGCTTACAGTGTCCATAACAGAGATACGAGCATAGATTTGTACATACATGTAGGACTGAGAAAATAACTGAGGATGTCAAAGATGACTTTCACGAGCAGGTGATTTATGAGTTTGTCTTAAAGAATGAGTAGGAATTTGCCTAAATAAAAAATATTCAGGATGGAGAAAAGACCATAGTTATAAGTGAAAGTCAATCAAATGGGAAAGAAAAGGTTACCAAGACATGAAGCTGATGTAATGTATTAGACCAGATTGTAAAGAGCCTCAAATAAGAAAATCCTATAGGTATCAGAAAATAAATGAAGCTTTCATCTTTTTACAGATATAAAAAACTTTTCTTTAAGATTTAATTTTATTTATTTATGTATAGAAGAACTGGGGTGCAGGGGGATGAGAGGATTCATGAGAGACAGAGTGGGGAGCAGAACAGGCAGATCTACTGAAATCCACTGCTGAGGAGAGTGGCAGGAGAGGTCTGTTGCACCATGTGGGTCACCTCCCTGGCCGGGATTGAACTCAGATTGCGGTAGCTGGCCATAGCTTGATAGTGCTGAGACGTTAACTCCTATACCACCAGGGAGGCCCTTATACAAAAGTTTTTTTTAAAGATTTATTTATTTATGCATATAAGAACTGGGGTACAGGCCAGAGGTACAGGGGTGAGAGGATTCACCAGAGACAGAGTGGGGAACAGAACAGGCATACTGACTGAAGTACACTGTTGAGGGGAGCAACGGGTGAGTCAGGAGAGGTCTGCTGCACCATGTGGGTAGCTCCCTGGCTGGGGAGTAAACTCACGCTGCAGTGGCTGCAGATAGCTTGATAGGTTGCATCTTAAGCCCCTTCGCCACCAGGGAGGCCCTACAAAACTTTTTTTTTTTTTTTTAAATTATCCTTATTTCAAATTTAAAAATCTAGGGAGCTTCTTAACTCTCCACCCAGACAGTTCACAAACATGCACAGAATAGCAACAACAAATGGAGTTTTTAAAGAAGGTGAACAAGATGAGCCTATCTTTTTAATGACGACTTTGGTAGTGATCTGAAGAATGAACAGGTTAAGGAGAGACTATAAAAGTCAGGAAACTAGAAAAAAAGCTCTTAACATAGTGCAGGTCTTTACTGTTTGAGACAATAGTCACTGGTCACATGTGACTACTGAACACTGGAAATGTTGTTCATTTGAAATGAGATATACTATATTGTAAAACAGTCAACAGCTTTTAAAAGACTTAACAAAAGAGTGTAAAATCTCTTAGTAGTAATTTGCTAGAAGTACTACATGTTGAACAAATAAATCAGATCTATTAGTCTAAATAAAATATATAAAATGTCATATTTGTACTCTTCTAATGGGACTACCAAAAACTTCAAATCACAGAGTGGTGTATGGTGTGTACATTTCCACTGGCAATACCAGTCTAGATGACAGCAGGGTCTACAAAGAGGTAACAGTAGGAGAATAAGGGAGGAATAAATTTAAGACATTGTGCAGAAGGAATAAGCAAAGATGAGGAAGACAGAAAAAAATGGGAAACTCCTAGATGTTCCTGACCTAGGTGACTAAGATTATGGTACCATTAACATCTGGAGCTGGGGAAAGGAGCAAGAAGGAGAAATGATGAGTTTTGAATTTGCTAATATTAAGATTGGTATTCTAGACAGCAGTGTCCAACAAGTGGCTGGAAATACAAGTCCAGTTCTAGGGGAGAAGATTTGGGCTAGTGACAGAGTTTTAGAACAAATTTAAGAAATTTAAATACACACAGTACTTAAAATTACTGAAGTATTTGAAAAGACTTAAGAGAGAAAGTATCCTTGAAAGGAAGATCCTATGAGGTGTCCCAATGACTTAAGAAAAAGGTAAGGAGGGCAGGGAGGCAGCAAAGAATTGTGAAAGGTAAGATATACAAAACATAAAAACATAAACACATACACTACATACATACATACCATAAGAGAAGGAGGTCCTACAATGCAAAGGAAATAAAGGATAGTCAACAGCATTACATGTAGAAAACCATGGGATTGTTCAGTCAGCAGATTATAATTCTGGACCTTAGTGAGAAGTTTTAGTAAAATAAAATGGTAAGAGTGAATGCTGGAAAGTAATTGAGAAAAGGGAGTAAGCAAGTATTGCTATCTCACTCAAGTTTAGTTGTAAAGGAAAAAGGATAATGAAGTGAAGATATGAAAGAAGCAAAAGTCAAGGAAGATACTAAGAGAATATGGATGATATCACATACAAGAAATACCTTTTAACTTTGACAGAACTTTAAGTACAAACCCTATTAAACAAAAAAATTTTTAATTGTAAGCAATAGAATAAAATTTAAAAATTAGCAACAGAATAACATTTTACAGGAAAGTATGTTTAGAAGCTAGCTTATAATAAAGAACTTAGCAACATAATATTTATAGCCTGGAAAAATAGAGAACATGTCTTTCAGAGAAGCCATGCTTTGATTTTTAAATTTTTTTTTTTTTTTTTTTATAGAGGCATGCTTTATTTATTTGTTTGCTGGTTTGTTTGTTTGTTTTGTTTATACATGCACTGGGTACAGTCAGAAGCGCGGGAGGGTGAGAGAATTCATCAGAGCCAGAGCGGGGAGCAGAGCAGGCAGAAGGACCGAAGTACACCGCCGAGGGGAGCAGCGGGCGGCAGGAGAGGTCTGCACGCCATGTGGGACCCTCCTCTGGTGGCCGGGGAGCAGCCGGGGATCGAACCGGCGCCGCAGAGGCCGCGGGCAGCTTCGCAACCCAGCGCTCAACCGCTGCGCCACCGGGGAGGCCCGCCATGCTTTGATTTTGACTACACTATCACACAGTCATAAAACAGTTTATTCTTTCTCTATGATATATACTAATTTGGTAGATGACCAGTTACAAAACCATACACAAATCGTTTTTCACAAATCCCACTTATTTGAACTGCCAACTCATCTGTACCTTATGTCACTGACAATCAACTGATAAAGATATATCATATTTATATATATGTATTATAGACACCTACAAAGAGAACATCTAATGCTTACTTGTACTATGTTTACATACTCAGAGACAGCAACCAAGCTATCATAGGCCTGGAACAGTTTTTCCCATTAATGCTCTCATTTAGATATGTATTGAGCATTTTCATTTTTAGCTATATATCATCTGATACTTCTTAGTACTACCTCAAGAAATAGTTCTCACATGTCTTAACTTATTTCCCTTTTCTCTTCTCATTCATTAACTTGGGAATATGTTCCTGTCTCTTTTTCTATTTCTTGTAAGTCAAAAATAAATGTGGATACAAATCATAATCATGGTTCATAATTACAGGTAACATCAAAATGTCTATGTGCATCTCATGGAATTGGTTAGAATTAAGCACTACAATAAAATGGTACTTAATAGACAAATAAGGCAATCTTCCCATTCCAAACTTGAAACTGTGAAGTCCCTCTCAAAACTTTTGCAAAAGCCCTTATCTTTCCCTACTTAAGCTCACTTTTCTTCAAGCATGGGCACTTAAGAATAAAGACACCATTTTACATTTAATTGTATTGGTTTACCCTTCTCAGCTGTTTTTCAGAAAACACAATTTTCTTTTTAAAGCACTATCCAATCAATAAATGATTTAGAAATACAGAAATTCTCATGCTAAAAATAGTTTAAAATTTAAATATTCTATAATTAAGACAACTGAAATATCTTTGAAAGCATCAGAGAGCTAATCCTTTTTGTGGAAAATCATATGGGAACCATTATGGTTCCGATATGGGAAAGGAACAAACAGAATTCCTGTATCCTTATAGAAAACCTGGGCTTGTAATGCTGAAGAGGAATAATAACCACATATTAAACTTCAAGTTGAACAATTCACAAATATATACAAACTGCAAATTTATTAAAGCAAAATTGTCTCAGGCTTACATAGTACACATTGCAAAATGAAATCTAAGACTTACCTTAACACAACCTTCCAATGCACTGAATTTGAACACTGCCTGAAAAGGTTTTCGGTCAATAGGACATGAAGCCAGTGTCTGAAAATGATGAACAAATTTTAACTTAAACAATGTTTCTTTTGCATAGATCAAAATCACACTACAGCAAACACATTTATGTCAGGTTTTCCACTGGACCAGGAAAAAACCGTAGAAAAATAACTTTTTCTCCTTTTAAAAATAAAGATATATACTTTCCTTGTACAGAGGAAATATCTTAAATACCGTAAAATATTGGACGAATATACCTTAAATTTGTTTCATTCATTCAAACATTTACTAACAATTTACTGTATGTTAGATAAGCAGACTACAAAGATGAACAAGAGATAAGATCTCTGTCATCAAGATAATATGTACTAATACCTGCTGCCCAGTTGAAAAGCACAAGTATAATTAAGGGAGAGTCGGGCTAAAATCTGTAGCTCTGTGATCAAAGACTTGGGAAATAAATCAGCTGTAAAAGGAATGACCAGGACAATTCCCTTGTAGATTTTAATATGCTATCACAATATTTTCCCTCAAAATTAATTATATTAAATAGACATTTGCACCAGCATTTAAAAAAATTTATAGCAAAAATGAAGGATGCCTTCTCCAGAAGTAGTTTCGAACATATCCTCTTGGTGATATATAACGCATATGCATATACATGTGAATTTTTTTTTAAAGATTTATTTATTTATACAAGAACTGGCGTACAGTCAGAGGTGCGGGAGGGTGAGAGAATTCACCAGAGACAGAGCGGGGAGCAGAACAGGCAGAGAGACTGAAGACACTGCTGAGGGGAGCAGTAGGCGAGGCAGAGAGGTCTGCCGTGTCATGTGGGTTTCTCCCTGGCCGGCCAGGTATCAAACCCATGCTGTAGAGGCTGCCGACAGCTTCACAGCACGGTGCTCAACCCCCTCTGTCACTGGGGAGGCCCTGTGAATCTTTTAAATATAAAACACAGAGAGTTAATTCATATTTTGAATTCATATTTTGAATGAAGTTTGTTTTTCTCTTAATTACAACTTAGATTGGATTGTATTACTATCGCTATTTTAGAACTGCCCCATTCTTAACAGCATCATAAGATGTATTAAGGTTTTTGAAATTTTAATTTTTTTTTTCATATTTTTAGGGGCTATTCTAAGTTCCTTTTCTTTACACTGTCTATTCATGACTTTGCCTAACTTTTTTATTAGGTTGCTAATCTTTTAAAATTTAATTGTAGGCATTCTTTGTAGATTGAGTTTCTCCGATAATACTATAAAATATTTGTATAGGGATGGGTTAATATTACTTAAATAACAAGTTGGAATATGCTATTTACTCAAAAGGGAGATTCTATAGCCTATGAAGAAAATACCAGAGGTATTATTAATACCTAATATTTTTAGGTTTTAATATTAAAAGAAGTAAAACAGGAACTTAAACAACTTTAATAGCAATAGTCTAAAAGACCACAAGATAGTAATGGGATTTTGATACATTATCTTCTGTTCCTTTGAAATAAAAGTCCATTTTTACCTTTCTGGACTTTGGCACATATCAAGATACACTTATACCCAGGTACAGAAAAACTAAATGGTATGTGGCCTGTGGTCATATTGGTTGCAATGCAATTTCAGAAAGTTCGTGAGTCAATTTGGGAATAGCCAAAATACAAACTGAGTTACCATTTCACTACTCTGTTAAAGAAAAAAAAAAAAAAAAAAAAAAGTGATCTTTCTTTGCCTATAAAGCAAGCAGGCCTTGGTAAAATATTTTACCATATCTGAATTAGGAAACATGATCTTACTGTATTAAGTTGGTTCAGAATGGTAGAAGCCAGCTCAGCTTACTTCCAAGCATTATGGGTTTAGGATGCTGTTACTTTCCCTACTGAAAACTTGACCTTAAGAAACGTTGCTACAAGTAGCAACAAAGCTGTCTATATATTTTTAATAATGCATTTCAAGTAGCTATCTAGATCAAAGTACTCACCATCAAAATCATAACTATGTGATTATCATACCAGCACTTAATGTGTGAAATTTTTAGACTATATTAATACTTACAATTCAAAATAACTTAATATAAAAGTAAAAACTCTGAAGTATTTTCACCAAAATTTGCAATGCATTCTTATTTCTATTTTAATGGTAAATTTATAGAAACATTCATAAAAAGATAAAACAGTAATCAATGAAATTTATTTCCTGCAATATTTTAAAAAGACAATGGTCTGGACTTGCTGTCTTTTGTATCTTGTCCTTTGTGTGACGTTAAGTAAGTTACACAGCCTCTATGTGTCACAGTTACCTCATGTAAAAAATGGGGATAATAACACAACTCATCTATAAGTTTTTATGGGAATCAATAATTGTAGAAGAGTGAGTGTGTGTACTACATATTGTACAAAGGCTAACCATCATCTAGCTTCACTGTACCAAGAATAAAAGTCTGGTTCATTAACAGAGATAACCCACAATATGATTTATATATACATGAGAGATGTGAATTCTTAATATTTTTGTTGGAATTCGCAAAGTACATGATATAAGCGGAAATTCAGGTATTTTTATTATTTCAATTTCACTAAAATTCAAAGAAAGCCACCGTATTCAAGAAATTTATCAGATGAATTAAACCTTTCAAAAACTTAAGTTACACAATCTTATTTTCTTCCTCATAAAACTTACTGTCAACATCAAACTAAATCGCACTCTTCCTATACAGTATTCAGCGAGTTTTAACCTGTACCATTTTATTTTGATCTGTTTCAAATAATGGTGTTCTGAGTAAGATTTTTTCCCCCCATTTTTCCTTAAGCATAATTGCCATGGATTGCCTAAGGTTGCTAAAGGACAGGTTCCACTGCTAGTACATAAACAAAAAACAAGAAAAAAAAAAACAAAAAACACCAAAAACAACCACAGAATTAGTATTAGGAAAACCACTACCATAATCTGTATATACTTACATTTCCTAAAGATAATCTAGTTTATACTAAAAAATAAATTAATACATTTTCTTTGGTTTTGGCTTAACATCAAAAAAATCTCTTAAAACCAAGTTATCCTCTCTAGTTAGAGAAAGCATAGGTCAGAAAACTACTTATAATAGACAAAGTATTTTTACTATAGCTACTGATAAGTGGTATTCATTTCTGACCTTAGAATAATTGAGCAAAACATTTCAAAGAAATGGAAAAGAAATTCAGTTATCCTGAGTAACGTCTTCATATTGCAAAAAACTATTAATGATCAAAGATTTTCACGAAAAAAAAAAAAAAAAACAACAACAGATTTTTACAATTAAGAGTTATCTCTAATTTTTTTGTTAACGTATACTATAACCAAAAGGTTACTTTCATAAATACATGCCAAGATTTGGACACCATCATTAATAAATACTGAGGCATATAATTACACATAATGTACTGATCAAACACCTTTAACAGAACAAGTTTTACACACAGGTTTTACAAAAAGGTTTCTGGTGGCCTCATTTTAAGGCACTCCAATGGATATTTCACCCTTTTATCCAGCAGTTATTAATTCAGAAAAATCTCAAATATATTTTGTTTTCAGAGTTTATGTCACTAAAATAACTAATTTATGTTTTTAAGTTGTATAGTTTTTAAAATTCACATTTAAAACAAGTATAGAAAAATTTTAACTAATATCCTGCTTTTCAAATGTGGCTTCAGCTTTGAAGAAAATAATCCCAAGTTTTCTGTATATGTAACAAAAATAAATAACCCTCAATTATTCACCATTTTGATTCCTTATATACAACAAAGTACACTTCAATTATTCTCCTATTTAAATCAAAGAATTTCATTTCAGTAATTTTTAAATTCTCTAACTTAGTCAAGTTTCATAATTGGAGTAGTACAATATCACCATTCAATTTTGTGATAGTTATAAAATTAATAGAATTTGATCGCTGCTTTCAATATAATGTGTATAAAAAAAGAGCATACAGCAAATGCTCTGTACTAAGATTTTATCATTTAAGGAGGCAATTTTGAAAAATGATCTTCCTAATGATTTCAGTAAAACATACCCTAGTATTTTGAAGCGTTGTAAATTCCCAGCTCAGACAAACCCATATTTAAATGTAAGAACAGGAAACCTTCCTTATTTGGGAATTCAGGATTCTTGATTTCTAATATTTCGTGCTTCCTGCTGCTGCTCTATCCTCAATCACATAGGCTGCCTACAGATAGCCCCTCCTAGAGAGAGAGAAGCAAGTGTTAAAGTGCTTAAAAACTAAATCTCAGTACCTAAGATATAAGTAGGTGTGTCTGTTTATGGGATTCTCTAGAACATCTGCATCTTTTCTATTGACAAATAGAGTACCACATTATTTAAAATCAAATAAAGATGATTCAGGAACGCATACCATTAGTGGTCAATCTTATTTCAGATCTATATACCTATACTTTTCTAAAAAAAAAGATTTATTTATTTATGCATTCAAAAACTGGGGTACAGGCCAGAGGTGCGGGGTATGTTTGTGTGTGTGTGTGTGTGTGTGGGGGATTTATCAGAGACAGAGTGGGGGGCAGAACAGGCAGATCTACTGAAATGAACTGCTGAGGGGAGCAGCAGGTGAAATAGGAGAGGTCTGTGTGCCATGTGGGTCAGCTCCCTGTTCGGGGATGGAACTGCTGCAGTAGTGGTGGATTGCAGTAGTGGTGGATTGCTTCATAGTGCTGATGCTTAACCCCTTGCGCCACCAGAGAGGCCCCTATACCCATACTTTTTTGTTGATAATTCCAAAATACCTAGCCTGGACCACCAAAGTACTCAGTCTACATGGTCCCTGTTACACTAAGTCAGTCCTTTCAAATATAGTCCTTGTCAATCTATATTAGTGAAATTGTGGTTCTTTATAACAGATTTCAGGAATAGCCTAAAGGATAATGGTTGTCAGTGATAAAATTAACACCAAGAAAAAAAGCATTTTATCTAACTATTCAAAGAGAACCATTTCCTGTTCTCCAAGATATATTTACTACAGTTGGTGCAATTACTTTAAATTTCTTTCAACATTAAATTGTCTTAGTTTTTCTAGTAAAAAAATCAGGAAATTCTGTACTACCAGTCCAAAATAGTTTACAAATACTGGCACTTAAAACTAGGCTATACAGAAACACACAATTTATCCAACTGAATATTAAATAAAAATAGAATATTAAATAAAAATATATCACATATTGCTTTAAGGTAATGATGTAAAAATATTCCTTGTTCTACCAAAGGATTAATTCATGGGTTTAAAACAACAGGGGATTTAGGATAATTGGTCAAAATTTCAAGTTCTGGAGGAGTCAGAACTAGAAACCTCTCTAATCTAATGAAGATAACCAATCCTGAATGACCTATTGCATGGGCTATAAAAATTAAATGAAATTATGTATTTGACAATGTTTTGTAAATTATATAGATAGGATCATTGTTAGCAGAAATTCAGAGATGTTTACTGTTCACAGAGAAATAACAGATTAATTCAGGAATAAGGAAAAATAAAAATTTTAGCAAAAACTGATTGGAAAAAACCCACACAATGAAGTTTTGCTGAATTATTGTTAAAAGTACTCTGCTCATCAGGATGATGTGTAAATTTCCACTCTGAATAAAGGAGCATTTGTATCTAAAACACAGCAGTAAGTCAAGGTATGTTAACCAGTCATATTTTAATTTTTTGATCACACAGCATTAATTCAAAAATATACTCCTCACCTGTCTGCATTGAACACTGCTGTTTGACTTCTTCAAGAACTGTTTGTCACCACAGTAAGACTCCTCACTTCAAGTCTCATGAAAAAAAAGAATACCTTTTGCCAACTGTCCAGTTTTCATCGTATTAACCTTATTTTCTCAAACTGAAGCTATCAACAGTGGATATGAAATGGAGGACTGAGATAACTTGAGGGAAGATAATTTGTTTATAGTAAGAAAGTTAATCACATTAGGAAATGATGACTTAGAAGATAAGGGAAAAGAAACCTGAGGATTATCAAGAACCTACAAAACATATACATGTTCCTTTACACAGAATAAAAGAACTAATTCCAAGTACTCAAACTTTAACAACTGAAGGAACAAAATGTTAACTCCTTCTTGGCAACTATGCCAAATCATAAATCTTCTCTTCTCTGTGTGTGCTTTAGTTTGTATTTTTGTTTATAGTATGGATTATCAATTTCTGGATGATTGATAAACTGGTGCATTAACTCTATACATATTTCATCAGTCCAAAGGCCTTCTTCCAGTTTATGACTCTCAGTTCTAATACTGATAGCTAAAATAATAAAAATAACAACTTTTCGTATGTGTCAATTACTATGTCTTTTCAAGTTCTTACATGGTTTTATTAAAAAACCACAGAATCTGTACCCCAGGCCTCAGAGAGAGCCTCCCCTTTTATGGTCCTTACCCACTCCTAGGCTCTCCCCGCAGTGTAACGCTTTCCTCACAGTTGTCCCCTTGTCCCTCACTCACTTCTACCCCTCATGGACATGGACCACCCAGAAAGTGCTCCATCCTTTTTTACCTGGAAGCACCTCCACTCCTCAGGCCACAAATCCTTCTTTAGAACTGTTGCAGCACAATCCCAGGGGCTGTGCATGGTCCTCCCAGAGAAGCCAGGGGAGCAATGTGACACATTTTTTTTTGTAGGGTGAACCATTTTGTATGATTTAAAATAAAATACAATACAACAAAACCAAAATTTTAGAACTTAAAAAGTTTAAAGATAAATCGGACTTTGGATTTGGATATAGAAACTTTAGGATCATGGAAACCTTCAGATGGGGACCCAAGATAAATAAATACACTAGACCGCTATATACCTTACTAGTTCCTCATGAAGCAGAATTTCTTCAATGTCTAAAATATTAAGATGAAAATAAATAAATGAGTTCTTCTTTTCGGTTCTTGATATCCATTCTGAATCATATTTCTGTGAACCTTGAGTACAAATCTCAGAAAGCTCAGCTGAATTTCTGAAAGACATATAAGACTAGGAAGAGGTCCTCATTACTTTTATACTGTTTTCTAATTCTGCAGACTTCCAACCACTGCAAATCTCAATTTGATTTTTACCTTCCTATTAGAAGCAAAAGTTAGTAAAATGTTAAACTATGGACCAATTTTTAAAAATTATTTTAATTTCAGACTATCCCTTGAGATATGTAGAAATCTTTGCCTTGAAAATGGCTAATAAACATAACACAGTGATTCATATATGGACATATAAGAAAGTTTTAGCATAGGGTCTGTATGGTTAGGAGACTCTCAATATAGGTATTTATTCACAATCCTGAAATCCAAAGTAAATTGTATGCCTCTCTTTAAAAACAGAAGGGAGTGGGAGAAAATGACAGATCTTAGTAACTAATGGCTATGGGGAAAACATTACTGAATCTGAGATCTGATTCTATTTGTCAAAGCACTTACATACTTCAAAACCTATCTAATTTTTATCATACCAATAAAAAATTCAAACCAAAAATTTAGTTCAAAGTCTAAGTGATTTTGTTAACCAGTATTTACTTATCATTTATAATGAACAACTTATTAGTGAATTTTGCTCTTGTTACTGCTCAACTTAATGGTTTATTTTACTGATGGCTGCAATTCCTACTAGGGAAAATGAAGTAATGTAGAATATTATGTTTATTCCATATTCAAGGTTACTTATGTTTAAACAAAACCAGAACTCTTCTCCTCCCCATCACAATTTATGGTAGTACAGCAAATAAGTAATTTGACTTTAACAAAGTATTTACATAGTAAGGAGTAATACAAAAGAAGAAAAATATAAAAAAAAGTGCTGACTGCAACACTAAGTTATCAAGTATTTCCAACTTAAAAATATTTAATGAGAGATAAAAACAGATAACTTGACACTGTTTAGTGGAGCTGAATACTTGCAGGATAATGTGGAACATGTACATCATGATAAAGCTTATGGTTGTGTAAAGATGCATGTAGAGTGTAAGAAAGGATAGACTTCTATTTTCTCATTCTAATTTTCATAGAGAAAAACATATACTCAGAATATGTTGTTGAATTTCATAATTATAAGTCACTGAGTACAATCATATGAAAGTACTGAAGTTTTCCATCCATCCAGTAATATTGCTTCCTTACTAGAAGCAAAATCTCTATTATTATTAAAATATTTAATCACAAAGCAAACCAAGGTACATTAAGTTCTACATATATCTTTAGTTAGTGGCAGAGAAAAGTGTGCATTTTTATTTCACTAGCCAGTGTTCCTGCAAACACAGAGAGATTTATAATACATTAACTCAGCAAAATTCAAAATTCAAAATTTTTCCAAGGACACATTTTCACTTACCCTTAGTCCCTTCTTCCCAAATATCAGGTTTTAATCTAGTTAAACCTGTTTTTAGTTTTCAAAAATATATATCTATTTCCAATCAATATAACAAGTCTTTCTTTTTCTCCTCCCAGACTCAGCCATAAAGATAGCAGTCATGTTCTCCTTTCCACATTATTAATGAAAGTGTAAATAAAACACAGAACTATTATGTAACAGCCCCTATTATATAACAAACAACTCCAATAAGCTGAGGAACATCAGATAATTTATGCAACTGATACTAATACTTGAGATTTGTCTCCTTTACTAATTTTTACACACTGATCAACTATTCAGAAAATACAGCATAATTCATGACAGTGTATTTTTATTTCACAATTCATAACAATGAGGGTTATAATGAGTATTGAAAATATCAGTACCGTGGTCTACTTGACCCAAATTTAACCAACATAATACATTAGCGATTCAAAATGTCCCCATTATTTGCTTTCTATAAAGAACCTGAATAACATCTCTAACTCACTCTGATATCACTTCATACTAAATAAAAACAAGAATTAGAAAATGTGGTTTTAGGTACACTGTTGCCTCTTAAGCTATGAGATCCTGGCCAGGCTATATAACACAAATCCAAATGGAAGGACATTATTACATCCGCTCTGGTTATCCCGCAAGGTTAATATAAAGAAGAAATCAATGAAGGATGTTATATTAGTAGTAAACAGCTAATATCCGAGAGAGTCAAGCACTGAAAATGAATTACTGCATTTCGACGAGAAAAAATACTCGCTATTCCTGTAAGATTATTTAGCTTTCTTAAAGTATGTATTTAAAAGTTCTTGTTACAAAAGAATAAAAGCTGAATAAAGGAAAATTAAAAGGAAATATATTGACAGAACTGGAATACTACAGGGAAATATATCCAAACTATGGATTACTGTGAAATAATTTAGGTAGAATGAAATCATGCTAGGAAATTAAAATACAATAATATTTAACACTTATTCTCAGACTTACCTCTGCCCATTTAAGAATACAGGTCATGCAGAAGACATGATTACAGTTTTCCGGAAAACCAACTTCCTTCTCTAATAGGCAATTAAGACATATTGGGCATCTGTCAGCTTCACTGTACAACAGACCAGTGGTAGCAGTATTATCTTTGTTTTCTTTGTCTATAAAGTAAAGAAGTCATATATGCTTTCAAATTCTCCAGACCAAATGACTTGTTCAGTGGCAGTATGGTGAAATAACATAAAGGACCCTTCACTAAGTAATACAAAGCAATGCGTCCTTCTATATATGACAGCAAACATTATTATGTATATTGAGCCCAATACTCCCATACTTTACTAATTGATAATTTTTAATGTGGGAATAAAAATTTTTTTCATTAATTTGATTAAAAAAATATAGTCACATGTTTCAAAAATTTAAAAGTTTATAGGGACAAACCTCCCACTGATATCTACACCCATTCGTTCAGTTCCACCCAACCAAACAGTAACAAACAACTGTTAAGTTTCTTAGAGATATTTTTAATGTAAGCAATAAATAGTAGACAAGCAAATCCCAATACACATTCTTCAAACCTTCTTCATACAAATGCTTTAACATTATACATACTAGTGTTAAAGTATGTATAATTATAGTTTTTAATTATAATTAAATTATTATAATAAAATTAAAATGTATAATTAAAGTATGTACAGTTAAAACACTATACATACTAGTGTTTTTTCCTGGTTTGTTGGTTTGTTTTAATGTATTAATGAAATTAATGTATTAATGTATTAATTTGCTTTCAAACTTTGGTTATTACAAACAATACTGCAATAACCAGGTTTGTCAGTTCATATTTTTAGTAGTATATCTATTGGATAAATTCCTAAAAATTAAACTGTTAGACCAATATGTATGTTCATTTGTAATACGAACAGATTCTTCACTAAATCATTCCCCTTAAGGGTAATACTAATTTAAGATGCCCACCAACAATGTAACCAACACAAAAGTATACACTTCTAGCTCTTTAAGTAAATCAAGGGAACTCTTGAGAGAGTTCAGCATTAAGACAAGAACCTTCTAGAGGGCTAAAGTGACCCCAGAATTCGTTCAAGAAAAAGTAAAATACCAATCTTGTGAAAAGTATGCCAAATTTAGGCCCTTAAATTCTACAGATTAAATTTATCAAATTTGAGTAGAATCAGCAAAGATTTACTTTTATATTTATATTTTATGAATTATATTTACTTCTTATAAATACTAAGTAGGATGATTAAACAGCAGATCAGGCCCAAAAGAAAAGTGCATTTGTGAACTAGAGGAGAGATTTGAAGGAACTACCTAGACTCTTAAGAGACAAAAAATTGTAATATGAAAGAGAGTTTGGGAAATAGGGCTGAACAAAGTCTAACATACCAACTGAAATCCAGAAGATGAGAATAAAGGAAATAGTTAAAGAGGGAGAGATCAGCTACAAGGGAATGACGGTTACAAAGAAAGAAAACTAGAAAATAACTAAATATCTTATGCTAAAACAAACAAATACAAACTTATCAATTCAAAATTGTGTATTTATCTTTAAAGTATTTGGAAAAGATGAATTAAAAAAAATTCATTAAGGTTTTTATGAGGAAAACAAAAAGGAATGGAGAAATCCTTCCTCCCTCTCATACTGCCTATATAAAACATCTATTTTGTGGTGTTTGAGGGAAAAAAAGCACTAAAAGTAGATAATTCTACCTGCATATCAAGAACAGTATAATGAGAGTTAAAGTGTTCTAAGGTGAAGATTAAATTATTTTAACTTCGGAAGCAGAGGAAAATATTAATTTTAATTATTTAAAACAAAAATCAAAAACAGGAAAAAAGTAAATGCTAAATCAGTATGGAGCAAAATTTTAAGAAAAAGAAATAGCTCAACAAACCAAAAACCTTGATCAATTAAACATGGGAAGAGGAAAAAAATTATGTCCATTTCTTAACCAGGAAACATCAACATATCAGAATTTAGGAACAACAAAAATAAGTAAAAACAATTCCTTGTGTATTTTGAAATGAACAGTTTGAAAATACTAGGTTTGATTTCAACATACAAGTTTTATAAAAATGAAGTTACCTTCCATATCTTCATACTCCTGATCTCCCACATTTAGGGTATATACAGTTTTTTTCTTCATTTCTCCTTGAAAAAGGGTTTCCTAAAGAAAGAATTATAACAGACCATTTACATTTGCCTTCTCTCAGTAACAATAAAAAAAAAAAAAAAAAAAACAAAACCTACCCAGAATTGTGAGGATTTATTTTACACATAAAAACAGTACAAGCAAAGCTAGTCAATTACGTGGACAACCAGTTCAGTATTCATTTATATTCTTTGCCATTAATAATCACACAATCTTAATGAAAGGAAGTCTCATATAAACATGAAGCAACAAAGACTAAAAGATAAACTCTGTGATATACACATAAAACAATGTTTAGGGAAAGAGATCAATTTGACCTGAATTTGTCACTGAAGGTGATAGGTTATGTGTGTTGAGTATCTTAAGGCATATAAGGAGCAAGAAGACTGAAGGAATAAAAAAGCGTTTAACTTAGGTCAATCTGACAAAAACAAGGTGAGTGAGAAAAAGTGTGTGTGTGTGTGTGTGTGTGTGTGTGTACACGAAGAAGGACTGGCTGGGTATATAAACCAAGAGATTCCTCTGAAAGATTAGAGGAAGGTAACAGAAGCAATGAGCAGAACAATCTAAATCAAGTAGGGTTACATTATAGATGGATATCTAATGACTGACTGAGTTTAAGCTCAATCTTACAGATTCTTCAGAAAAAAAGGGACATGATAAAAGAGAGGTAAGTAAATCTGTTAAAAGACTGAATGCCCAGCAAAGCACAGAATAGATTACAGCAGGAAAGAGATTAAAAACAGATTTACACAGCTATCTAGAGTGACTGAAGTGAACAGAAAAGCAAGAATTTAAAGAGCTGAAAAATTTCTGAGATGTGTAGGCTAAATAAATATAGGGCAAAAATTATTGTGGTCTTCTAGACTAAGGAAAAAAGTGATTACAAGATGCAAATGAGTAATGTGGGTAAAGAAATCTATTTATTGGTCAACATAGACAATTATGAGAAAATTATTTTTTAAATCAACTTAGAATTCTTTAATTGATACAACACACATGATTGCAGTAAACTGTTCAAATACATGCTAGAATATCTAGAAACAAGAAATCCCCAACTTCATCAGTTACAATTTCCTATATATGTCAAGTAATTTTTCTGTTAGTTACTTACATAGTTTGAACATGCTTCTGCTGTAAGTACTATTGTTACAGGGCAGGGAGAGGGACATCCCAGAACCCCCTGGGACCTCTCCTTTTTCTGGGGACCACCATGTTACACTATTGTCTCTATTAGGTTAAATAAGAAATGCAGAGACCTGCACTTTGGTTCAAAAACCAACTGCAAAGTAGAAGATAAAAAACTTACAAGAAAGATTTAAAGGTTTTAAGAGATTAAAAATTGAAAGTAGAACAGAATTGGGGGCCTTCCTGGTGGCACAGGGGTTAAGTCTCAACACTATGAAACTACTGGGAGCCACTGCAGCACCAGTTTGATCCCCCAATAGAGAGCTGACGCACATGGTGCAGCAGACCTCCCCTGTCTCACCCACTGCTCCCCCTCTCAGTAGTGGATTTCAGTGGATCTGCCTGTTCGGTGCCCACTCTGCCTCTGGGGAATCCTCTCACCACCACCCTCCTCTCCCCCACCACCTCAACCTCTGGTCTACACCCTAGGTCTTGTATACATAAATAAAAATAAATCTTGGGCCTCCCCGGTGGCACAGCGGTTGAGCACTGGGTTGCGAAGCTGCCCGCAGCCTCTGCAGTGCCGGTTTGATCCCCGGTTGCTCCTGGGCCGCCAGAGGAGGGTCCCACATGGCGCTCAGACCTCTCCTGTCGCCCGCTGCTCCCCTCAGCAGTGTACTTCTGTTATTCTGCCTGCTCTGCTCCCCACTCTAGCCCTGGTGAATTCTCTCACCCTCCCGCGCTTCTCACTGTGCCCAGTGCTTGTATAAATAATAAATCTTTTTTTAAAAAAATAAAAATAAATCTTAAAAAAAAAAAAAGAATCACAAAAAAAGCACTAATGTAATCATTACATGCCTCAATAAAGGTGGAATACCAAAAAAAACGAGGAAATGTCCTACTGGGCCTACATATGCAACAGTTGTTTTAGTTTTGTTGCTTTCTTTAGGATGAACAAACAAATGATAAATGTTAAGGGAAGATAAAGAGGTAACAGTCTTGAAAACCATCCTATACAGGAAAGTAAACTAGCAAAAATGCTTAGACTAGAAGAACGGCGAGCTTAAGGAAAAGCATCTTCAATGGACTGGGCTATTCTGAAAACAGGTAGACAAACCTATCAATTCAAGCAGAGGCCCAATAATCTCTTGTGGCATTTTTTTTTTTTTTAATTCAAGGATTTCTTGAGTGTACAACAGGTATATTATTAGGCAATGCTACAAGTACAGAACAATTAAAAAAACAGAAATTCCTGTCTTTACATTTTAGTGAGGGAGACAGAATAAACAAAGCAAAATAGTGTTAGATGTTGAGTAGTGCTATAATGAAAAATAAAACAACTGCAAAATAAAACATACAATTAAAATGGTTAATAGGTGAGAAAGTGATGAGGCTGTTATTTCAGAGTGTTTAGTGGAAATATTTCTGATAAATTCAGTGACAATTGAACTGGCAATCTGAAAGAAACGGGAAGAAAAACTATGCGGTTATCTAGAGAAACTGCATTCTAGGTAGAAAGAACACCAAATATTAAAATCCAAAGGCAGAGGAGAGGAGGGTGTCTGCTATGTTCAAAGAACAAGGAGGTAAATGATTAGAACAGAATGAAAGAGAAGGAAAGGTGAGAGCAGAGCAGGATCCTGCTTCTCAGAATGGAATGTTCCAGCAGTGGGTTTTAAGCAGAGGAGGCAGCAAAGGGAAAAAGAGAGACCAGCAGGAGACCTCTGCAGTAATATAAGGGAGATGGGGTTTCAGAGAAGGACAAGGGTAATGAGAGGGGCTGATTTCAGCTGTGTTCTCAAGACATGCCATTAGTATTTGCTGACAAACCGAGTATGGGTGTATGTTAAAAGCAAGAGTACAGGGTAATTCCAAAATATTTTGACCTGAGCAACTAAAACAATGGAATTGCTATTACACTTTAAAAATTTAGGTTGCTGTAAGTTACTCTACTGGATATTCACTTCAGACACTATCAATAACATGCGGGAACTTGTGACAAATACAGAACTCCATGAAGCACCACCACAGACACAGGGAATGAATGTGCATTTTATCAAGATCTATACATGATACGGATGTACATTAAGGCCTGACAGAGTACGCTAGTAAACTTCCCAACACATGGATTTTAGAGTCATAATGTGCTCCTGTATGACCTAATTTAATGTATAATTCTTTTTTTTTTTTTAAAGATTTATTTATTTGTTTACGCAAGCACTGGGTACAGTCAGAAGCGCGGGAGGGTGAGAGAATTCACCAGAGCCAGAGCGGGGAGCAGAGCAGGCAGAAGGACCGAAGTACACTGCTGAGGGGAGCAGCGGGCGGCAGGAGAGGTCTGCGCGCCATGTGGGACCCTCCTCCGGTGGCCGGGGAGCAGCCGGGGATCGAACTAGTGCTGCAGAGGCTGTGGAAAGCTTCGCAACCCAGCGCTCAACCGCTGTGCCACCGGGGAGGCCCTAATGTATAATTCTTTATTTGGGGAAATTAATACCCCACTATCTCTACCATTACCCTAAGTTTTCACAAACGTACTACCCATTTATGTAGTTAAATAATTTTTGTCGTATTTGATAGTCTAATCGATGCTATTTTCATTTCCTCCCATAAGAAAATTATGCTTAGGGCCTCCCCGGTGGCGCAGCGGTTGAGCGCTGGGTTGCGAAGCTGCCCGCGGCCTCTGCGGCACCAGTTCGATCCCCGGCTGCTCCCCGGCCACCGGAGGAGGGTACCACATGGCGCGCAGACCTCTCCTGCCGCCCGCTGCTCCCCTCAGCAGTGTACTTCGGTCCTTCTGCCTGCTCTGCTCCCCGCTCTGGCTCTGGTGAATTCTCTCACCCTCCCGCGCTTCTGACTGTACCCAGTGCATGTATAAACAAAACAAGCAAACAAATAAACAAATAAATAAAACATGCCTCTATTTAAAAAAAAAGTTTAAAAAAAAATTATGCTTATCTTTTCAAACTATGATAGAAATAATTTATAATTAATTATATATAATTATATAATAATTTTACAATATTGTCTTCTCTTTTAATTCATACAATGAAGTATACATGTAACAGTTTATCAATGGAGCAACCAAGTCACACAGTCTTGCTTTGGTAGAAATCTGCTTAAAAAATTGTGTTTCAGGGGCCTCCCTGGTGGCGCAAGCGGTTTAGCGCCGCACTGTGAAGCTGTCCGCAGCCTCTGCAGCGCGGGTTTGATCTCAGCCGGCTGGTGAAAATCCCACATGGCACAGCAGACCTCTCCTGCCTCGCCCGCTGCTCCCCTCAGCAGTATATTTCATCAGTCTGCCTGTTCTGTTCCTGATCTGTCTCTGGTGAATCCTCTCACCCTCCTGCGTATCTGGCCTATATCCTGGTACTTGTATAAATAAATCAATCTTAAAAAAAAAAAAAATTGTGCTCCAAATTTTCAGTTGTGTGCTTCTTTCTGAACATACCATTTTATAACTGTTTCTATACCCCAAAACAATTATAATATCAGTTTAAATACCAGGAGCTAAGACTGCATCTTAGCATGACTTAGATTATGGTTATCAGGCAATGCATTTAAGTACAAAATAGAATAAGAAAAACATAAATTCATATCTTTACCTTTTAGTGGGGGAGACAGAATAAACAAATTAGCACCTCCTTGTAAAAGTCACAAGTTTCAGTTCAACTTATAAACTTTTAACTTGTTCATGCTAATCTGTGTATCTAAAAATCCACGATCATTAACACTAGTCTTGTTTTAAAAAGCCAGTAACAGGGACCTCCCCGGTGGTGCAGTGGGTTGAGTGCAGCACGGTGGAGCTGTCCGCAGCCTCTGCAGCGCGGGTTCGATTCCTGGCTGGCCAGGGAGATACCCACATGTCTCGCCCATTGCTCCCCTCAGCAGCGTTTGTGGTCCGTCCATCTGCCTGTTCTGATCCCTGCTCTGTCACTGGTAAATTCTCTCACCCTCCAGCACTCTGGCCTGTACCCCAGTTACTGTATAGGTAAAATAAAACTTTAAAAAAAAAAAAGCCAGTTATAGGAGCGTAGGATACAATACAGACTTGAGTTCCCAACCAATAACGTGTGGTTAATAAAAGATAACAAGCCACGAGTGGGGAAGATGACCCTTCCTTCATTATTCAAAAAGTCAGATGTAACCTAATGTTGTGATATTAACTATTTGAGTCTTAATTATGTGACACTCTACCTAGATGACTTACAAGTTCTATAATTATCTATAAATCAAACTGAATTTTCTTTTAATTTTGGTTTATCTCAAATTTCAAAGCATGGATATTTATTCTAGATTTCAGGTTATTTCTGTGTATTTTCCCAGTGATTTTAATTTACAAATTTCAGTCTGTAATGTTTCTTTCCAGGTTCTACCTTTCCAAACTAAAATGTCTTTTAAATTATTACCCCTTAGGGCCTCCCTGGTGGCACAAGGGGTTAAGCACAGCACTGTGAAGCTATCCACAGCACAAGTTCAATCCCTGGGGGGAGCCACCCACATGGCTGGCGCAGCAGACTTCTCTCCTGGCTGGCTAGCTGCTCCCTTCAGCAGTGTATTACAGTCAGTCTGCCTATTCTGTTCCCCACTCTGTCTCTTGTGAATCCTCTCACCACCTGCACCTCTGGCCTGTACCCCAGTTTTGTATGCATAAATAAATCTTAAAAAAAAAAATTATCCCTTATATAAATAATCTTAAAATGCTTCTATCTTTTAAGTTGCTCTTTTTAACTCTGTTACATATTACTTCTCTCATTTATTGAAATATTATTCCAAATATGTTCATACAAGAGTTCGGGGGGGGGGGAGAAATCACCTAATTAAAAAAAAATATTTATCATAAAAGTCATCACTTTTAGAATTTGGAATGAAAAATGACTGGTACAAATCAGTTTTCAGGAACTCAAAACTAATTTTTCCACACAAACCCTGGAATACAAGGAAGTGAGAGCCCCAGGCCAACCATTACAGTGTATTCAAGTAACACCAATACATAACAGGCAGTTCAGTTCTCTAGAACAATACTGCCCAATAGGGAACTATTTTACTCCAAAGACTCGAAATGAGGCTAAAGCAAGGAACTAAGACTATGCCTGCTTTGGTGGTGAGAGTGCTGTGGTGACTACACCTGAGGGGGGGAAATCTTAACACTAACAAGGATGTAAAACAATGGTAATTCAATTAAAAAAGAAAGTGAGAAACTATTTTATTTAAGTTTTAATTAATTTAAACTTTAGTCTAATGTGGCTACTGGAATAAATAAATTAGAGACAGGCTGTAGAAATGTGAGGAGTCTAGGGCCTCCCCGGTGGCGCAGCAGTTGAGCGCTGGGTGGCCAAGCTGCCCGCGGCCTCTGCGGCGCCGGTTCGATCCCCGGCTGCTCCCCGGCCACCGGAGGAGGGTCCCACGTGGCGCGCAGACCTCTCCTGCCGCCCGCTGCTCCCCTCAGCAGTGTACTTTGGTCCTTCTGCCTGCTCTGCTCCCCACTCTGGCTCTGGTGAATTCTCTCACCCTCCTGCGCTTCTGACTGTACCCAGTGCATGTATAAACAAACAAACAAATAAAAAAAAAACAAACAGAAAAAAAACAAAACAAAACATGCCTCTAAAAAAAAGAAATGTGAGGAGTCTAGCCCTTTGCACTCCGAACCATTTTACGAAATTTTGATTTAATTTCTTGTGCCATTTCAAGATAAAACTTCAGGGAAACATGCATGTCTCAAAAAGTTGCGTTGAAATAACCTCAATTCCCCGTAATCACTAATAAATTGCAATGTCCCCTGAGAGGGGACATCCGAGTGATATGCTAGAATTCCGATGTCCCCTGAGAGGGGACAGCGGAGTGCAAAGGGCTAGTATACGGCATTTTTGAAAATACAGGGTAAAAAAAAGAGAAAAATGCCAACTGGTTAAGAACACTTAAGGTCTAGAGTTCAGGATATTTAAATACTAGCAAATACTAAATTTCTGGTATGTTCAAATATCTTTTTGTATATCTTCTAAATTCCTTCTTAGGTGATGTGAGCAGTCATTTCCTGCATAATTAAAAAAATTGTTTATTGAAGTAACACTGCTATAGTATTTTTTTTTAAAGATTATTTATGCATACAAGAACTGGGGTATAGGCCAGAGGTGTGGATGTTGAGAGGATTCCCCAGAGACAGAGTGGGGAACAGAATAGGCAGACTGACTGAAATACACTGCTGAGGGGAGCAGCAGGAGAGACAGGAGAGGTCTGCTGCGCCATGGGAGTTGCTCCCTGTTTGAACTCATGCTGCAGTGGCCACAGACAGCTTCATAGGTTGCATCTTAACCTCTTGCACCACCAGGGATGCCCAACATTGCTACAGTATTATAAAATTTCAGTGTGCATCATTACAAACATGTCTATACATACTACATTACTATAAATCAGTGTCTTCACATACTTTACTGTTACCACTTTTACCCTTTAACCTAATTCATCCACCCCCTCCCCTTCCTTGTAACCACTAATTTGGTCTGATAGTCTGAAAACTTATTTTTGTTTTCTTCAGGTCATTTGTCTTGCTTCTTTATAGATATGCCACATGTGGATAAATCATAAGCTGTTTGTCTTTCTGTTTTCATGAAGCATTATACCCTCTGGTCTATCCATGTTGTTACAAATGGAAGGCTTTCAACTTTTTTACAGCTTAGCTATATTCCATTACATAAATATACCACATATTTTTCATCCAGTCACTTGTGATGGGCACTTAAGTTGTTTCCAAGTCTTGGCTACTATAAATAATGCTGCAGTGAACATGGGGTGAGGGGGGGATAGATATCTAGATATCTATGTCCCCCAAAAGTGGGATAACTGAATCGTATAGAATTTCTGTTTTTGACTTTTTGAGACATCTTCATACCATTTTCTATAACACGGCACCAATTTACATTCGATCAAGAGTGTACGGGGCTACTTCCTCCATATTCTCTTCTAATTCTCCTTTATTTTGTTTTCAACTGGCCTTCAACTGGCAATATGCTGAATTGTGACTTCCTGTGCTTCTTCCTCCCTGAAAAAAATGTTTTCAACTATAATTTGTCTCCAGGAGCTGTAGGAAGACAACCATGTCTTCCTATTTGAAGATATATAATACTCTGTCAAAATGTCTTACATTCTAATAAATTGTACTCACATCCAGGGCCTCTGGAATAGATCATCTTTTCCCTTTCCCATTATTTTGAACCTAAGTTAAACATGGGAGCAGCGTGTGGAAATAAAATGAAATAGGACTAAGTTTCATAATTCCTACCCCAGGATAGTTTAAAGAAAACACCTAAAGAATCTTAAATGTAAGGTGGCTTGTGAGCACTTGTATACTTACTAAAGACTTTAAATGATACTCTTGGGTACCACCCAGAAAATTTTGTTTATAGCTTCATTTCAACTGCCTTCTTTTTACTAGAGTTGCCATATGTTACAACCACATAGCGTTTTACCTATCTTACTTATATAAAGTGGAAAATAAGATACCAATAGTCTATTTAAAAGTTTGACAAAATTGGGCCTCCCCTGGTGGCACAGCGGTTGAGCGCTGGGCTACAAAGCTGCCCGCAGCCTATGCAGCACTGTTCGATCCCCAGCCACCGGCGAAGGTCCCACATGGCATGCAGACCTCTCCTGCCGCGCCTGCTGCTCCCCTCAGCAGTGTATTTTGTCAGTCTGGCTGTTCTGTTCCCCTCTCTGGCTCTGGTGAATTCTCTCACCCTCCCGCACTTCTTACTGTACCCCATGCTTGTACAAATAAATAAATAAATAAATCTTTAAAAAAAAGTTTGACGAAATTGTTATATGGTAGAAATCAGGTATAAAAAATAAAACTTTGGGAACATTCTGCAAGGAATTAAAAAAAAAATCAACATTTCTTGTCAGAAGCAGGGAAAGAATCTAGAAAGAAAAAAGCTATCAAGCTAAAGGAGTCAACTGCTTTAACCTTAGTCTGTAATGAAAAATTGAAGACACTGGAGCAAATATCCATGGCAGTTTAAGCCAGATTAATAGATCAACAAAAATCACAACCCCTTCAGGAGAGGGTTAAAGGAACTCAAGGACAACACTGCAGAAATACTGACTCAAATGTATAAGGAGCTGTTGTGCCAGAGTACAGGTAGAGTACAAATGCAGACAAATGCCAATACTTAAGAAAACTAGAGGGGCCCTCTATGACAGAATGAGCCACAACTCCAAGCTAGTAAATCTCCTGTAGTGTCTTTAATAGGTTTGGCAAACTTTTTCTGAAAAGGACCAGATCTATTAGCTATAAACCAGAGACACACTACCAGGGGTGGGGGGCGGGGCGGGGATAGGATCAAGACAAGGGGGTGGGTGGAAATTGTATGGGGACTATAACCAAGATGAAAATGCATACATTGTGCAAAAATGAAAAATGATGTAAAAATATATAAAATTTAAAAAATTATAATAAAATGCTTTATAAAAATTAAAGAAAAAGAAACAGGACCAGATCATAAGTATTTTAGGCTTCCCAGAGTATACAGCTTCTGTCCCAATTATTCAACTCCGCCATGTCAGATTCTAACATTTGTACTTTTTTTTTTAAATTAATTTATTTATATAAGCACTGGGTACAGTCAGAAGCGCAGGAGGGTGAGAGAATTCACCAGAGCCAGAGCGGGGAAAAGAACAGGCAGACTGACGAAATACACTGCTGAGGGGAGCAGTGGGCGCGGCAGGAGAGGTCTGTTGCACCATGTGGGACCCTCGCGGGTGGCCGGGGATCGAACCAGCACTGCAGAGGCTATGGGCAGCTTCGCAGCCCAGGCTCAATCACTGCACCACCAGGGGAGGCCCTAACATTTGTACTCTTAACTAGGGTGTTGACAGCTTTAGATACCGTAAGATTTGCTTAAAAGACAGTAGGACAAAGCAAGGAGAGAGACTTGTTCTGTTCCATAGTAGGTGGAAAGGAACAGACTTGGGAAAAGGATGGGGGGAAGGGAAGAAGGATAGGTCTTTTAAACAAAGCCAGGTCAAAACAGTTTAGTTTCTATTACCAGGAACATCTTGTCCCTTTCCTGCTTTCCCTGAAGCCTCAAAAATGACTATAGTAGAAAGTGCATTGTTAGTATCCCAAATACAGCTTGATTTTTTTTTAAAAGATTTTTATTTATCTTATGCATACAAAACAGGGAAGTAGGCCAGAGTTGTAGGGCTGTGTGTATGAGAGGATTCACCAGAGACAGAGTGGGGGGGCAGAACAGGTGAATCTACTGAAATCTACTGCTGAGGGGAGCAGCAGGCTAGACAGAAGAGGTCCGCTGAGCCATAATGGTCAGCTCCCTGGCCAGGGACTGAGCTCAGGCCTTAGTGGCTGGCAATAAATTGATAGCACTGAGACTAAAACCCTGTACCACCAGGGAGGCCCTGAATATTTTTTAAATTATTATTTATTTTTTCCCCTAAGATTGATTTATTTATGCATACAAGAACTGGGGTACAGGCCAAAGGTATGGGGGGAGAGAGGACTCACCAGAGAGTGGGGAACAGAACAGGCAGATTGACTGAAATACACTGCTGAGGGGAGCAGAGGGCTAGTCAGGAGAGGTCTGCAGCACCATGTGGGAAGATCCCTGGCAGGGGATCGAACTCAGGCTGCAATGGCTGCTAGTGGCTTCATAGGTTGTGTCTTAACCCCTTGCACGACCAGGGATGCCCTGTTTTTGTTTTTTTTTTTTAATAGAGAGTGGTAGTTATATTCCAGAGCTATACTGACTGTAGTAATGATTTATTTATTCCAGGCACCCCTAGGCCTTAAGCACTGATTCAGCTGACAAAAATAGAAGCAAAAATGAACAACTGGTTACACATGCTAGTTCCACATTACAGTATTGCAGGTGCTGTAAGGGGGTACACACAAGCAATTATTACAAGCACACACTGAGCACCAATTCTTGTAACATGTGTGTAAAGAAGCCTTCCTGAGACCACATAGATCAAAACTGTATTTTCTAAGTTCCTGACCTTTCTACACTTACATTTCCATACTAAAGGACTCAAAATTGGAACTGTCACTTTAACATGACAGTGAGAATTTTAATTTTCAAAACAAAGAAAGGCACATGTGTAATAGAGAACATATCTTTGTTGCTGTCTGGCTATTTTGGATTTCCTTTATGGATATACCATTAGATAAACATAAAAAATACTCTGTGCTTATTAATGCCACACCATAAAAAAAGGCTTATCCCAAACTTTCAACCACTGCTTGGACACACATAGTTAGGAAGAAATATATTTTCTCTCTATCCAATTTTTATAAAATAGTCACATAATTATATGTGTATATTCATTATCTAATTGAACAACACAAATTTAAAAAAATTTAGTTTTTAATAAAACATTTCTCCCTTCACACCAATTTCTCTCTCTTCATGATCACAACTGTTACTTTTTTTTCAACATTCCATTTCTTTCAGTTATAAAATATTTGAAAGTACAATGGAGAACCAATATATTAGAATATTTATTTACTAAAGCAGCACTAACATTTTCATTTCTATCAACACTTTCAATTTCACCCCATGTTTATAACTACCAATCAATAATAAAACTGAAGTGGGTATGAAACTCAGAAGACTTTCAATCAAATTTTGTTTTAACAGACTCATTTACATATTACAGTGGTCTGGATCCTTGAATCTCTCCCCCCTTCCAACACATGTTGATATCCTAATCACTGAAGGTGATGACTGTATTAGTAAGTGGGGCCTTTGGGAAGTGCATAAGCCATGAGGTAGAACCTCATTAATGGGATTAGTGCCCATAAAAGCAGCCCCAGAGAGAGACCTAGCTCCTTCATTATGTGATGAAGCAAGGGAAAGGCTGAGACAGAGATGAGGACCCCTCACCCAACCATGCCAGCACACTGATCTTGGACTTACAGCTTCCAGAGGTATGAGAAAGAAATTTCTGTGGTATTTTGTTATAGCAGGCAGAACAAACTAAAACACATGCTCTGCTTTTGGTTATTATTGCACATCAACCCCAGGAAATACTTTCTACTTGAGTTTTCAAAAAGGTTATCAGTGATCTGGCAGCTAAATAGCAGTTAATAGCAGAAATTTCTAGATATCTTTCATATTCAACTCCTTAATTCTGGACCTATAAGAAAAACTTATTCACTAAGTTGTACCTTAGTGTTGTATCTTACCAGATAAAATAAAAGAAACTAAAGTCAACCACACTTATAGGTCTCATGATAAAAGCAGCTTCATATATCAATCCAGAAAACAAGCTATAATTCAGAATGTCTCGAATTGTTGCACACAGTCTTCAATAGCAGATGAGTGCCAAAAGTTCACTAAGCAGCACGCTATGCTCTATCACACTGTGCTTTATGAAGGCCAAAAACCTAATTATGGAAACAAATAATTTTTAAAAGGTTAAGATAAAAAATTAAACATTTCCAAAGTAAACAGCAAGCCAGAAATCCTCAGGTAGAAAACATTAAATAAAAAACAAGAAAATGTCTTTATGAATGCAATATGATTATGAAAAAGAGTTCATGAAAACTATGTCTTAAGAAGAGAAATTTATCTTCCTATTTCCTTCTACATTTAATGTAGCAGCAACTCCTCAACAGGACTTGTCCTACTGCATGCCTCACTAACATATATATGTTGGGGGAAAAAAAAACAGACAAAATGAAATTGACAAACCATATTTAACTAAGACCATAAAGAGATTAAAGTTGCCATTCTAAAATAAATGAGATTGGGGAGTTCTGATGCTGAGTAAAATGGAATAAGCACATTTTACCTGTTAATCTCATTGAACGAAACAATAAAACCCAGACAAAATGAATGGCGCAGCAAATTGAAAACTCAAAAGTAAATAAAAGCAGATGAAATGAGCCCAGTCAGTGATTTATAATTTTTCCCACCCATTTATTGCCTTAGCCTGGGTTTAACAAAGTGGAAATCTAGTAAATGTCCCCTGAAAACAACAGAGCGAACTCTAGGAGACACCTTCCAACTCTGTGTAATGAGTAAGAGGCCTCTCTTTCTTTT